TTCATTTCAAAAGATAAAAAATCATCATTTTCAAAATCATTTTTATAATTATTCAAAATAGAATTATTTTCTAAAATTCAACCTTTTGTATTTTCCACATCTACATTTTTTTCATGTTCTATTTCCTTTTCTTTTTCTTTTTCTTCTCTTTTTTTACTACTATTAATTCTCTCTTCACTTTTTTCTTCTTCATCCTCTTCATCATCTATTTCTATAATTTTTACAATATCTTTTTTTCCTTTTTTTCCCACTTTTTCTATTCTTCTCTCCTCAAGTTCTTCACTCTCTTCTCTTATGTCATTCTCTTCTCTTCTTCTCACCCTTTCTCCCTTACTTCCTTCTCCTAAACATTTGTGATCTTCCACAACCATAATTCTAGCGATTTCAGTGATTTGGTCAATTTTATTTTTTATTTTTTTTCCTGCTTCTTTTTCTTCTTTTTTTTTTCTATTTTTCTTTTCTCAAATTCTTCACTCTCTTCTTTTATGTCGTTCTCTTCTCTTCTTCTCCCCCTTTCTTCCTTACTTCCCTCTCCTAAATGTCCGTGACCCTCCGCGACCGTAATTTCAGCGATTTCAACAATTTGACTAATTTTATTTTTTATTTTTTTCCTGCTTCTTTTTCTCTTGTTTTTTTTCTATTTTTTTTTTCTCAAGTTCTTCACTCTCTTCTCTTCTGTCATTTTCTTCTCTTCTGTCATTTTCTTCTCCTCCTCTCCCCTTTCCTCCCTTACTTCCCTCTCCTAAACGTCCGTGACCCTCCGCGACTGTAATTTCGGTGATTTCAGCAATTTGGCCAATTTTATTTTTTATTTTTTTTTCTACTTCTTTTTCTCCTGTTTTTTTTTCTATTTTTCTTTCCTCAAGTTCTTCACTCTCTTCTCTTGTGTCGTTCTCTTCTCTTCTTCTTCCCCTTCCTTCCTTAATTCCTTCTTTTAAATGTCCATAACTCTCCACGACCATAATTTCAGCGATTTCAGTGATTTGGCCAATTTTATTTTTTACTTTTTTCCCTGCTTCTTTTTCTTCTGTTTTTTTTTCTATTTTTCTTTCCTCAAGTTCTTCACTCTCTTCTCTTCTGTCGTTCTCTTCTCTTCTTCTCCCTCTTCCTCCCTTCCTCCCTTCTCCTAAACGTCTATGATCCTCCACAGCCATAATTTCGGTGATTTTGATTTCACCCTCTTCTCCACTCTCTCCTTCACCCTCCCCTGTGTTTTTGTGCTGTTTCTTTCTCTCCTTTTCAGCGGTGGCCCGATTCTCCTGAGGTTCGATTATTATTATTGGTTTGTTCATGTTAACCGGAAGAAATCTATAAAAAAAAAAAAATTATCATTATTAAAATTATAATTATAATATTATAATTATATAATATTATAATTATTATTTTTATTCGAAAAAATTCGAAAAAAATAATATACAATAATTAATCGTGATTATTCATGATTAATCACAATTTTTATAATTGTCGATTAATTGTGATTAATCGTCCATTAACATTTGTACTCGACTATTAGTTGATAGTCGATTAATCGCGATTTTGTATTCGTGATTCCTAACACTATCCTCCGTGACCAAACCAATAAAAATAGTATATGATATAAAGATGAGATCTGAAACACAGATCACTTCGCGAATAATAAAGAAAAATGTTCATTTCAATTTTTTGATAAAATTTTACTGAACTTCTTCTTAATGATAAAGATGAAATTATTGGAGCTAAAGACAAGAAGACTTATACTGCACATTCAAATATATTGAAATATCGATCACTTTATTTTCGTAAAGAATTAGAAAACATTATTCTCTATGAAAACAATATTAAAATAATAATTAAACCAAATATCTCTGATGAGATTTTTGATATTATTCTCAAGTAAGTTATATTAGAATTATTTTACAAAATATTTATAATTATTAATTATTACTATTTGATTATATATAGGTATATTTATAGTGGTATTGTTAACTTAAAGAAAGTTGAAACTGAATTTATTTTTGACTTAATGTTAGCAGTTAATAAATTTGAACTTGAGAAATTATCTAAAAAACTAGAAAATATTCTTATTGAAGATAAGGCTTCTTGGTTGAAAACACATTTTTTTTTTGTCTATAAACCATTTTTGATAAACAAAATTTTAAAAAGTTAGAAAAATTTTGTAATGATAAGAATCTGTACTAGTATCACATCTTAAACGAGATGATTTGCAAATGAAAGAATTTTGAAATTTGGAATTACACTATTAAATGGGAATTGCACAGAATCTTCTACAGACCTTGAAAAATGGACAAAATTACTTCATATTACAAATTTTGAAATTTATGATAAATTAAGCCTTATAAAAAAATTCTTAATAAGCAACTCTGGAAAGACATTAAACAACATTCATTTGCTCCTGATCGACCAGCAAAATCAACTATTTTATTAGCAAGAACAGTTTTGGAGACAAAACCAAAATCAAAAGAACCTTTTTCAATTATAATTTCTAAAGATCATGTTGCAGAAATCTCTAATTGGATCAATTATGAAACAATTACTTATTCAACAACAAATATTCCTTATAAATTTGAATTAATTTTACGTGGAACTAGAGATGGATTTGCTCCACAAATATTTTGGAATATTTGTCATGGTCATGCTTGTACAGTTGTTGTATAAAAGTTAAAGGGACTGATGAAATGATTGGAGGTTATAATCCTTTAACTTGGGATAATTCTTATAATGATGATGATCAATGGATGGAAACTAATGACAGTTTTATTTTCTCATTAAAAAATGGAAATCTTCAAAATTCAATTATTAGCAGAGTAAAAAAAACCCCAATGTGCAATTCGTAATTCATGTAAAATTTATCAAAATTATTTTGGTCCATGTTTTGGATATGATTTTGATTTATATAGTTATAAATCTAATTTTAATTTAGATAGTTTTAGTCGTTGTGAGAATTATAGAATTTTTATGAAAAACTTACAAGTGCATCATCAGATGAATTACCATTAATGATTATGAAGTATTTAAAGTCATTAAAAAATTTAAAAAATGAAAAAAATAGTTACAATAAACTATTTTATTAAGTTTTCTTTATTTTTTATTTCATTAATATTGAGTTCAATTATACATGTTTATTAAGATTGATTTAATAAGACATTATACCAGATGTAATATGATGTAATAATTTTTGATAACAATGAAATATAAGTCATTAACTTCCACAAGTTAACAGGCCAAAGTATTTTGAAACCTTTGATTCTGCCAGTGAAAATATTACGAAATACTGTTTTAAAAGATTTCCAGATGACGTAAAAATCTTACCAAAGTTCTTAGGATTAAAGGCAATAATTGATTGCTTTAGAAATAGTAAAAATTAATAAGGCATAATATTAAATGTAAATCTATGTTGGTTCCATAATATTATGTAATATCATGCCTTATTAATTTTCCTGATGCTATGAAACTATTATTGACAAATAGATTGAAACATGTATTATAATTTATAATAAATATAAGAATACCAATAATAATACAGTAACAAAAAAAAAAAAAAGGTACTAATTAATAATACAATAGTTAATAGTTAACAAATTATTATACATTATATTGTCTATTGATAAAAATAGGAATAAATATAATAGATCTAATTCTAAACTGGTGAATGCATTCCTAATTTGGTATTAAATAACAATTTTGATCTTTTTTGAAATTTAGTATAATGTTTCATATCATGCATTTTTACCAATTCTTGTATGGGAATAAATATTAATATAGGTACTAAAAAATTAATTATATAAATATAATATGGAATCAACTTAAATATGTAAAGTGGTCCAGGTAATAATGATATAGTGGTAAATATTATTTGCAATAATATACTAAATAGAAAAAAAAGAGTAAGATAAACTAAAAATAATAATAATTTATAATTGACCATAAACAAAATAACATATTACTATAAGATTAATATAAAAAAATAAATACCTCACTATGATAGCTAGAATAAAAACTTTATTTCTAAATGGATTAAATTTTCTCAAAGATAATGTTCGATTTACAAAGGATATGGATATACATGCTAAAATAAATTGTAAGTATAATAAAAGAAGAAATATAATAAATAAATATAAAAAAATAAATTAATAATAAGTAAATAAAATAAATAAGAAAGAAATTATATAAATTTCATACCTAAATACCATACAAATGCAAATAATGTTAAATTTTGAGCATAAAGAACAATCCATTGTTGCTCATTTGTCCAATGTAACCATCCAAGTTTCCCATATGATCCAAATATTGGTGAATCAAAGTCATTAATAAAATAATTTAGACATCTATGTTAATAATAATAATAATAATAATAATTAATGATTGAAATTATTGTAATTATTGTAATTGCTGCAAAATTATTGATATATAAATTAATTACTTACATAGCAAACGTAGTACATGACATTATTATTAACAATGAAAAACGTAATATAAAATAGATCATAAATCTGGGTAAATCGCGAAGGTGTTCAATGTTTTTCACTATAAAATATTGAAAAATAATGTGTAAATGGTATGGTGTAGATAATATGTAAATAATGAATGAATGATATAAATGAATAAATAACACAATTACTGTTTATTAAACCAACCTGTCATCGTAGTCATCGTATCCGAAACATGAGGATTAAAGAGAAAAGAAAGTGCCAAAATTGGTGATATAACACAAGTAATCCATAATATATGATATCCAGTAAAGACTGGAGGTAAACAGAGACAATAAGATAATAATATTATTAAGGACATTGATAAATATGTTCCAATCAAAAATGCAATTCCCTAATTATATAAATAAAAAATGAAAATGAAAATAAAATAAAATAAATAAAAATAATAATAATAATAATAATAATAATATTAATAATAATAATAATAAACAAACCATTCGTAATCCATTTATTAATCTTCTAGCTTCTCGTATAACATCAGTAAGTGCATATAAACTTGTATCATAATGCATAAATAATCCACATGGTAAAGCAGCAAATGCTGCACCTAATGCGATTGGTGATTGTCCTCTTATTTCACGAGGACCATTCTTCGTCAAAATACGTGTGTGGGTTGGTTCCATAGCAACACTAACATCAGCCTTATTAGTAATTAATAATAATAATATAATAATAATAATAATAATAATAATAATATGATTAATAATCATAATATATTAAATAATAATTGAAATATCTTAATTTATAACTTACCACCGCGAATGAATAAGTATTACAACTATTTAAAGCGCTTCCAATACAACAAACCACTTCTCCATATTGTTGAAAGATTTTAATCATTTCTTGAGTTGATTCCGGTGTACACTCAGCAAATAATGAAACATGAAGAGGAATATCATCAACATCTTCTAAATGATTTCTAGTATTATCAATTCCTCGTGGAAGACGAGCCTTTATATCATGAGATTCTAAATATCCATCTCCGAATGAATTTTCATCTCCAGGTGATGATAAAAGTATACAACTATTCCAATCTGTTTCAAGTCCTAGTCTTTCTGCATATGCTGCAGAAAATTATATATATAATATATATATATATATATATATTTAATTGTAGATATTTGATTGTTAGATATTTTTTAATCATTGTTGAATATTTATTTATAACCAACCTTTACTTTCCCTTTCGGCTGTTGGAGAAAAATAGACAAAACGAATTCCTGCCCCTTTTAAATCTTCAATAAAATTGCAAACATCCTTATTAACAAATAAATAAATAAATAATATTTATGTTAATATTTTATGTTAATATTTATTTATGTTTTATTTAATTAATGAAAAATATCTCCTTACTGCTTTTGGTTGATGACAAAGAGTTGCCATTGCCAAAAAAATTTGACCTTGAATAACATCTTGATAAAAACTTTCTTCTTCTTGTGGTGTAGTATTATTTTGGTCAAATGCAAAATCATGAAGATTGGCTTCTAACATTCCATTATTTAATCTATGTAATCTAATTGATTGTGATATAGAGAGATCTTCGTCATCACTTCCTTCTTGCATTTCAATTTTGTCAACTTCAGGTGAATCAGGTAATACAATATAAATACTACTACAATCTGATGCTGTGGATGTTAAAAATGGAATTACATTTCCGTTCTCAACATTTATTGGACGATATGAATATGCTATACATTGCATATCATTCACAATAGCATTTGCATAAAAATCATAAATTTTATTCTCCATCTAAAAAATAAAAATAAAAAATAAAAATTTCATAATATAATATAAAATAAAATGAAATAAAATAAAGCATAATAAAAAAAATATAATTATTCATCATACCTCTTTACTCATGGATTGTAAACCTTGACCATCCCAATAATCAGAACAATTATCAAGTATGATTTCTAAATGACCATCTGATAATAATTGATAACTTCCCACTTCAAGTTCTTCATAAATTGAAGAATTCATACTAGGAACTTCCCATTGATCATTTCTAATACGCTCTCTTAAAGAAGGATGACATGGTGCAGTGGTAAAGATTTCTTTCCTTTTAACAAATGGTCGAAGTGCGTCATCCGTGAACCCAATTTCTTTACCCAGGCGACATAAACATGCTAAATACATAATAAATTGATAAACAATGGGCGAATATCAAAAAAAAAAAATTAAACTGTTAAGCATTTTTATAAGTATCAAATATATTCGCTCATATGAAAATTATTATTATTATTATTATTAAAAGAATTACATTGTCTCGCAGGTTTGATTTTAGCATGAATATTAAAACTTGAATATTTTCGATGTTGATCCGCACGCTTTTTTCCTTGTAATACACCACAATTCGTGTTTAATAACAGATTAAGTCCTAAAGGTTTTAATCGTCTAATGGTAATAATAATAATAATAATAATAATAATAATAATAATAATAATTTTATTATTATTATCCTTATTATTATAATTATTTCATTATAATTATTTTATAATTAAATATACCCACGACAAATGTTGATCCCAATCTTGATCCTCAAACTTTACACGAAAAGCTGTACTTGGATCTTCAGCTACATCAAGGACAGTTATATCTCCTTCTTCATTTGGAAATAATATTTGATCAACTGATGCAAATGGCTAAATTATATTATATAATTATTTTAAAGAATTTTGAGTAAGTCTTTACAAAATCTTTCTGAAATACTAATACTAACAACAACAACAACAACAACAATAATAATAATAAATTAATTATAAATTAATTAATTAAATTGATTAAATTAATTACAGATGAAATTGTTCCTTCACGATCCAAAGAACAAATCACAGTTGCACTGCCTAAGGACTCAAATAAATTAGTAGATCGAACAAGTGATGATCCATCCCACGGATTACTTAGATATCGAAATTTTCTCCATAATTCCGCTATATATTTATATAAATTTTTTAGCAAATATAAATAGATATAGTAGATATAATATATTAATAGAGAATTATTTTACCTCTATCAATGTGAACATTTTTTGTAGGTGGAGGTGCTTCAGCATCAAATTCATCAACTTCATCATCATCTTCATATTCAGTTTTTGATATTTGTAAAGCTTCAAATAATACAAGTAATGTGGCATTCGCAAAACTACGAACTATTAACCAAAGAATTGGAAATACTAATGGAATTAATGGAAGTATGGCATAAATTGGTAAAATAATTAAAATTTCAAATGCTTGATCTTTATTATTTCTTCCTTCCTCTTTATTATTATTTAATATATATCGAAATATATTAATTAAAATTCCTATTCCAAGAATTACAAAAATTAATCTATGTAAAAAAACTCTTTGTAATATTTCAGCTTGTTTCATGATTATTGTGGGAGGTCGAGTTTGTATTAAAGCAGCTTTTAAACAATTTGCCCAAGGTGTTTCTAATAAAACGAATTGATATCTTCCTCTATTATTAATATGTTGTTCCCATAATGCTTGATGTGATAATTTTTTAAAAAATGTTGGTTTAAAAACTTGTGACATTTCTAAGATTTTTGATGAAGAAGAAATTGAAGAGGGTGAAGTAGAATCTCTGAACTCTGATAATAATTTAATTTTACAAGGTGCTTTATCACCATATAGCATTTCCACTATATCCCCTTCTACTAATAATGGGGTTGGAAAATTACGAACAACTCCATCACGAACAACTTTTGCAAAAGTAAGTGATGGCACAAATGGAATTTTTATTTCCTGAATAAAATTAAATTAAATTAAATTAATAAATATAAACAAATAAATAAATATAAATAAAATAAATAAAATAAATAAATATAAATAAATAAATAAATAAATAAATAATAAATAAATAAAATATAAATAAATCCAAATAAATCTATGAATTGATAAAATTTACCTGTATCGTATTCATTCCACCTTGTTTTAATTGTTCAACTATATTTTTCGCTCGTTCATGTATTTCAACTGCCACCAATTTTTTTTCTCGTGCATAAAGAAATCCATTAAATACAGTAAGCAAAAAGATCAAAACCGCTTCCACCAATATAGTCGTCAAACGGAATTGATATGGATCACTTTTAATCAAACCGTATATATAAAATGCAATCATTAGAAGGAATGATAATATGATGAGAATGGTGTCGGGACGAATCAAGAATTCTTTAACGTCTGAATTATTGTTTAATAATTATTATTAATTTTTGTTACTATTATTAATTCTTTTATTTTTCTTTTATCTTTGATAAATTTTTTATAAATTATAAACTTACATTTCCTTGTTAAAGCAGGTTTTTTATGTTCAGCTAAAATTTTATTGGTTACTGAAACCAATTTTCTAATAAAAAAAAAAATATTCAAAATAATTAAAAGTTCTTTCAAAAAAAGAAATTATTAAATAATTAATTACGATGAAATAATGAAATAATAAAGATTTAACATACTCTAAAGCTTCAACACTTGTTAAACCTCTCTTTAAGGTATTATCCTGAACTACTAAATCACTTGGTAAATTCGAAACTCCCTCGTCATAAGTATAACATCGCATATTACTACCTTTATTTAATTCCAATTCTATCATAAACTCTTCATCACCTGTTATTTGTTTGCTTAAGCGTAAGGGAATTGTATCAGAAGAAGAGTTATTAAAATCGGAATCAGATAAAGGTGTAGTAGAAGTATTAGTAATGGAGAGGTCAACAACTTCGTGGTTGGGAGTTAATTCATTATTATTATTGTTGTTGTTGTTAATGTTATCTTTATAAATGTTATCATTATTATCATTGTTTTTATAATTGTTTTCATTTTCTCGGTTTTCTCGGTTTTCTTGAGTATCATTATCATTATCAAGTGAAAAAGAATGGTTTTCCATTATATCATCGTCATGAAGATTTTTTTGGAATTGGACAATTTTATCCGTTATTCATATGATTTATTATGATTATGTAATAATAACAATAAATAACAAACAATATATATGCTTATTTTATTTTATTTACTGAATAAATTACAATAACATTTCATAAATAATATGCTATCTACTCTACTCTACTCTACTCTACTCTATTATGTATTATAAACATCAAATAATTTAAGATAAAGCCAATTGTATTTGTTCTATTGAGTCTCATAAATCTTCTTGACTTGTAGAAAATGAATTATGAAGATATGATTAATAATTAGTTGTTGTGTAGTTAGGAGAATTTGAATTATTCAATTTCTTTAAGTTCTTCATTTGTGGCAAAGATTATATGTTAGTCACTAGAAAATCAGGATAAATAATTGTCCCTGTATGATAATATTTTAAAATGTACCATTTCAGAATCTTAAATAAGATTTGATCCAGTAAATTTAAATTTAATCATGTGAAATCGAAAAAAATTTTCCGAAATAACACAAAACACTAAAAACGAATTGCAAGTTTTATTATCTGGTAAGAAACTATAACAATTTTAAAGCGGTATTTTTTACAACTCTAACTTTGCCCACGTTTTGCGAACTCCATGACATCTAGGGTTTTCTATTATGAATACTGTGGATTAAAGAAAAGTAAATTTATGTTAAAGCTTTTCTATTATCTTTATAAATAAAGTTTTGTTTATTTTGTGGGTTACTCAAATTCTCTTTAAAAAGTGATTAATATGTTTACACATTCAAATTTGATAAAGTCATCAAAATTCACACAATAATTCAAACAATAATCATTACTCTTTAAATTCCTTCGTCAATTCATAAAAAATTATACAAAAAAAAAAAGGTTGTAAATAATAAAATAAATATAAAATTTACATCATAATTAATATATATTTAATCTCTTGAAAACTTTCATAATGTTCTTTTCAAAATATAATAATAAAAGATATGATCATTATAGAATTAAGTAATTTGATAATTGATATTTTCAATCTAAATCTTAATAAGAATTTATGAATTCATCAAGAGTATAAAGAGTATAAAGAGTATAAAGAGTATAAAGAATATAAATTACATTAAAAAAAAAATATAAAATATAAAATTATAGTAAAAACTACTTCCCAATTTACTATTTATTAATAAATTATTTATTTATTATCTACTTTCAATACTTTCAGTATCTTCAATATTTTCATCTTTATTATTATTATTATTATTATAATTATAATTATAATTATTATTATTATTATTATTATCGTTATTGTATTTTGATTTTAATTTATTTTTTGAAAGACTAGATTTTTCTAGAATAGAATCCCGATCCCAAGCTTCATCACCGATTTCAATTTTAATTCCGTATACAGTATAACCCTCATCATTAGCTTCCGCTTCACCATTAATAATAGAAAATTTAATGTCCGGAAATAAAGATTTAATATATTCTTCAATATCTTTACCAAATAATTCTATAATTTTATATCCATTATATCTAAATGGTTTAAATAATCTTCTAAAACTTCCTTCGGGAGGAAATGTTACAAAAGTTTTTTTACCCGCACTTATGGGAAATTCGGCACCAAAAATATTATGAAAATCATATCTAGCTTCACAAATTCCATCTTTTAATGCTTCCACAAATTTATCCAATAATTTGGCGTGATATTGATCAGTAGAAATTTCTTGATGTGGTAAAGGAATTTGAAAATATTTTATTTCTTCAATTAATTCTTGATGATTTATTTCCATGAAAGAATTATTTGATCCAGTCATTTCATCTAATAACATAATTTTCCCCGTACGATAAAATTCCAAAATATAATGAAATGCTCGACTATTCCTATCAAAAAAATATTCATTACCATTAGTTGGATTAAGTAAAGCTTGATTTCTTTCTTGAAACATTGCACCAAGTAAAGTATCAGGATATGTTGTTAAAGTTGAACGATAAGTTTCGTACTAAAAATTATTAAAATTAGAATAATAATTAATTAACAAACAATAATGATAATTATTATTTATTATCCATTATTATTCTCTAATATTATTTATTTATTTTCTATGATTATTTTCTATGATTATTATCTATTATTACTATCTATTATATTACTATCTATTACTATCTATTATACTCGGGGAATTTACCTTAACGCCTCCCACATTTAAAATTACTCTTTCTTCGGAGGAAGTTTTAGGCATTTTCTTTCTATGATCATAAAAAAGTATCTACACAAAGAACAACCGTAATGAAATGAAATTGTAACTCTACTCGTTATTCTACTCGTACCTAAACTTTATATGGACATTCATTAAATAGATGTGCGCAATAATAAAATTTCAGGGGCAAATGCCACAGGGGTTTCCCATACATTTTATAATAAACAAATCATGAATTTCTTTCTTTTCTTTCTTCAACTTACAACCCTGTGAGATGGATATTGGATATACATTTTCTTTCTCTGTTTGAAAAATTTCTTTAAATTATTGTAACATTCTTATAACAAAGGGTATTTATAATTAAATAAGAACATATTCAATTAATTAAAACCTATTTCTCACGCGGGTGAATTTCTTATCCTATAATTGTCACATAGCATCACACCGTCTGGACATCATCTGGTAGTCACATGAAAGCAATTTTACTCGAGTAAAAATAGAGAACAATATTTCAGCTCACCCTAGTGAGGAATGTACATACTCTTAAATATATTAATATATTGGAGTAAAAGGGTTTTTTTAATATTAATATTATTATAAAATATAATTCAACCAAAATTATATAAATTATATTTCCTACCCATCTATATGCAACTCTTTAATAGTTATTTTTATAATAATGTAATCTTTATTATATAACTATATATATTAAAGAGCATTCAAAGAAGTAAATAAGATTTATAAATCAAAGTTTATATAAAAGAAAACTTTAATTCATTTATTAAATCATTCTCTTTATTTTCTTTGATCAGATAATTTTTGTTACCAACAATTTGATATTCCTTAAAACTATAATGTAATGTTTTTCTTCTAGAATTTAAAAAGAAAGTTTATTCTGGATTTTAACTTGCCAAAATTCAATTCCTGTGTAACATCTGGGGATATATTAAAAGATCATTAATTAAATAATTTTTTTTTTTTTTTAAAAAAAAAAAATCTACTATTTGACATTTTTTTTGTAGAGTAATTTAAAAAAAATGGCATAAAAGCAAGAAATGATAACAATAGGATAAATATCATAAATATCTAAATTGTATTAACAATAATGCAAATTGAATATTTGAATTATTTTTTTTTTTGATGGATTTTGTAGTTTTGATAGTTTTGATGAATATTTGTGAATATAAAAAGAATATTAATGGATACAAAGTAAATATTAGTGGATTTTTAATGAATATAAATGAAAATTATGGACGTTTTGTTTAAATTATTTTTAAATTATCAAATTATTCATAAATATTTACTTAGAAATCTTGTCCGTTTTTTTTTGTTTTAACTATTGATAACGATGAATTTTAGAATAGTGTCACTTTGCATATGTTACACAATTTTTCTAGTTGCATCAATGAATTTATTTTTATAAATATTAACTAAATCGATAATTTTATTCTTGTGGTCTGATAACAAATTTTTTTTTGTTTCGGTTGGTGTTTAAATATTTTTAGATATTCAAATAATCAACAAAAGAATTTTTAAAGTTATTTATTTAACTTGATTATTTTAAATATTTGTCCCTTTTTAGTCTTTCTATTTGTACAAAAGAAAACTGTGAAATGGAAATATATCCCGATCATATTTACGGTGGTGTGCCTGTTTTCAAACCAACCTGGGATCAATTCAAAGATTTCAGAACTTTTGTTACTTCAGTGAAATCCTATGGATATAATTCTGGTATTGTAAAGATAATACCACCAGCAGAATGGTAAGTTATGCTTATCTTTTAATATAGTATTTATAATTTTTTATGGTCAATGTCTTTTTTTTCCTCTCTCTTTTTTTTTATATTTTTTATTTCTATCTTATAGGAAAGCAATACTTCCCAAAGATCTTTCTCCTCAATTGAATAAAATCTTGATAAGAAATCCTTGTCAACAAATTATCCAACGAGATACAACCGTCGGTTATTATGTCGTTCGAAATGTTGAAAGTGAACAAACTTTTACAATCAAGGAATGGGCCGAATTATGCGAAACTCCAGAGCATTCCACACCGTTCCCAAAATCCAAAACTAATTCAAAATCTTCAGTATCTGATTATTTACCATTAAGAAAAAAGAAAAAACATAACGGAAAGTCAACCAAAAAAAATTCCACCATTGTTAAACGTAACCAAGGTTCCACCAACCAGCAAATTACACCAAAAATATCACAATTAAAGAAAAATAACTTAACCGTTACATCAACTCCTCCCGAAACACCACCAAAAGCTCGTAATCCAGGAACAAATAAAGAAACCAATAAAACATGTATTCCTAATCGGTCAAACTATAATAATAATAGTAATAATCCTCCTAGCATTAATAGCGCGTACAAGAATACGAATATTTCATCACAAGGCGTCATTTCATCACAAGATACTACATCTGATGAAAGTGAAATCGAAGAGGAAGAAGTCATTCTTACATCCGATCAGATGGGTGTGATATTTAAACCAATTCAATTTAACTTTTAGTCGTTACGTCATCACCAATGTCAAACGATTTAACGATTTTTATACTATTTTTTTTTATATAGAATCTGCAGTTGATGCCATGCAATTGGATGACGAAGAATATGAAGAAATCTATGAAAAATTTGATTACCATTCCGTGAACCGACGCCCTTATGACGACGAAAATTATATTAAAGAATTAGCCGCCAATTATTGGAAAACCATAATGTATAACTATCCTTATTATGGAGCAGACATGGCAGGTAAATCAAAAAAAAAAAATTTTTTTTTATATTTTTGAAGAAAATTATTCTTCATTACCTTTAACCCAATGAAAAAATTCTTCTCTTTTTTTTTTTTTTTTTTTTAACTTAAAAAAAATACACCAAAATAAACAAAATAGGAACCTTATTTACCGAAAAAACGACCTCATGGAATGTCAACAGTTTAGATAACTTGTTAAATACGATTGACCCAATTCCTGGAGTTAATGACGCATATTTATATTTTGGCATGTGGAAAGCTTGCTTTCCCTGGCATGTCGAGGTAATATTAAATTTAAAAAAATTTTTTTTTTTTATAAGAATTTTTTTTTCTAATTGTAAAATATAATTTATAAAAAATAATAATTATTAAATGTAAAATTGAATGATAATAATTTATGAAAAATAATAATTATTATAAAATTATTAATAATTAAATAATTATCATAAAAATAATAATAATTAAATAATTATTGAACAAATAATAATAATAAAATTAGTAATTTTTGTAAATAAAAAATAATAATTATTATTTTTTTTTTTTTTTCAATAAAATTTTTCATCTTTTCTTCAATAGGATAAAGATCTTTATTCAATAAATTATATCCACTTCGGTGCTCCAAAACATTGGTATGCGATTTCACCCAAAAAAGCAGACCAATTCGAATCACATATGAGAGGTATTATTATATTAATGATTAAACTTTCTATAAACTTAATTTTGTTTGTTCTCTTGCATGCAGTGATTTTGATGATTGATCATGATGATGATGATGATGCAAAATCGTTATTTGTAAATTATTGCCAAAAAGAATATTCTATAAAGAACTATTATATATATATATATATATATATTTGTATATTTATATTTATAAATTTTGTTGTCTCTTTGAGTGGAGAATGAAATTGCTTAATTATGAATTTTTTATGATGGATAAAAATATTATATGCATATTTATATAAATTAATATATAATTAAATTAATTAATTCAGGTTGGTTCGGAAGTGATTCCAAGAATTGTTCCGAATTTCTGCGCCACAAAGAATTTTTGGCATCCCCCAGAGTCCTCGACCGTGCACCAATTCAATATAATTATGTTATCCAACGAGAAGGCGAATTCATTATCACATTTCCTCGAGGATATCATGCCGGTTTTAATTTGGGATTTAATTGTGCCGAAAGTGTTAATTTCGCATTTGAAGATTGGATTCCACTTGGAATTGGTGCAAAAACTTGCGCTTGTCGGCCTGATTCGGTTCGAATAGATGTTAAAGCACTTTTTGGACATTTATTGGATCCAAATTTAACATTATCGACCGAAGGAAAAAAATCATCAAAAATGATCACAGATTCATCATCTACTAACAATAATAATAATAATAATAATAATAATAATAATAATAATAATGATAATAATAATGATAATGAAAGTAATAACGATAATATTAATGATAATAATGCTAAAAATATTGCTTCTACAACTGTTAACATCTCCAGTAATGCTTCCAACAACAACAATAATAATATTCGTAATACTCAAAATATTCAAAATACTCGAAATATTCACAATAATAATAATAATAACAACAATAATAATAATACCAACCACCACCACCCAACGACGACCAACAATAACAACACCACCACTATTACAACAGGTTCACGGAAGATGAGTTCTGGAACATCATCTGAGAAAACAAAGATTAAATTACAATCAAGTTCTATTGGACCTTCATCAAGTTCCACTAAAATTGTATTAAATGCTAAAAAAAGAAAACTCAAGATCAATTCGAAAAAAATTGGTAAGAATTTTTAGTTTGATCTGCGAAATGATTAATTTATAAGCAATTGTTTGACACGTGATACATGACTCGACCAATTATTGTTAATTATCAATAATTAATAATTTATTTCTTTATTATTACATAATTTATTATTAATTTATTATAAAGTGATAAAAAAACCAAAATCTATTATGGAAATACAGGTAAATATTTAAGTAATTATTTTATTCTCATAATAACATTAATAATAATATTTTTTATATATTTAAAACATATAAATATATATGAATACATAAAATATATATTTTATAGTGCTATCTATGTCCTAATAAATATTCATATGATGAAGAGACATATGAAGGAGGTGAATTTGAATTAATTTCTAAAGATGATGGCACAAAATATGCTCATGGGTAAATATTTATTGATTATCACATGTGTATAATTAATTTCATTAATTTGCATATCATCTATTATTAATTTAATATTATTATTAATTAAATCTTATTATTACCTTTAAATTAATTAATTTAGTCTTTGTGCCATGTTTGTTCCTGAAACTTGGATTGCCAGTTCAGATGGATCAGTAAATGATTGTAAAATTATAGAAACTGAACCAATACCTAAATATAGATTTGAAACTGTAAGTTTTTTTTTTCTTTTTCCATTTACATATTTATTATTATTATTATTATTACTACTACTACTATTATTATTATTATTATTATTATTATTATTATATACATAATTATAATATTTTATATTTTAATATATTTAATAATAGGAATGCCAAATATGTCATACCAAAAAGGGAGCATGTGTGAAATGTCAAGAAGAAGGTTGCATGAAGGTATATTAATATAACTATTTATTTGCAATTTATTTAATGCATTTATTTATTTTTAATTAATTAATTATTTATTTATTTATATGATTATTTCATCTAGAGTTTTCACGTTTCATGTGGCGATTTGGATGGCAATCAATTAAAAGGAATTGATATTCAAGGCAAAATCTATTATGTAATTCATTGTAAATCTCACACAAAGGTAATTATATATTATATATATTATATAAATATTAATGTTTTGTCACAATTCTTAATTTTTTTTCTTAATTTATAAATTATATTTTTTATAGGATCACGCTTCTATAATGAAAATGTTAGGAATGAAAGAAATTAAAAAAGAAAATAGTCTGAGTAGTACCATGAAAGAAGATTCTATGGAATTTATATAAGTTTATTATATTATTATTATTATTATTATTATTATTATTTTTTATTGCGCGCATACATTTTATGTTGTTTATTAAATTCACGAATGAAATATATATAAAAATTTAAAATTTCACCACTACCATTATTATTATTACTATTATTTCTTTCTTTCTTCTCTTTCTTCTCTCCTTCTCTCCCTCCTACTTTATTTTCCTACTCCTATAAATCTTCCTTTTAGACAAATCTCTATTTTCTTTCTTGTTTCATATTTCTTTGATTTTTTTTTATTTCATATTTGAATTGTTAAATGTGATGATTTTTCAGGAGTTGTCAAATATTTTCTTTTTTTTTTTTATTTAAAAAATTCCTTCTTTCTTTTTATTCTCCCTCTCTCACTTTGCCTCCTCTCTCTCTTTTTTTTTATTATTATTTGTTTATATATTTGATTACTTTTTTTTTTTTTTGAATGATAAAGATAAAGAGATGATATGATATGATAACAATAAAGAAATCATAAAGGTAATGATAAGATAAATGATTAAATTCTTAAATTGATTTATGATTATAAAAATAAAGATTTTCAATACACACAAAGATTCATATTCCTGGAATAAAAAGTAAATCCCTCTTTTTTATATTTATTTATTTATTTATAAATACAATATAATATTGAAATTACTCTTAATTAATATTAATATCAATTAATAATAATTATTAATATGATTACAATTACTATAGAAAAAGATTATATTATTATTTTTATTGCTACTTCACAATATTTAATAATAAGGACACTTAAGATATAAAAAAAATATATATATATTTTCATACAAAATCGATAAAAAGATTAAAAGAACATAAGAATAATAAGTCCAAACATGATTTTATTAGCTTTAAATAAAGGTTTAGCTCTAAATAATAATTAATAAAACAATTAATAAACAATTAATAAACAATTAATAAATAATTAATAAAAATTAATTAATAAAAGTAATTAATAAATAATTAAAATAATTAATAAAATAATTAATATTTAACTTACCCAGATGTAACAACAGTAGGAGAAGCAGTTTAATTAGTATTTGACTGTGAGAATTCTGACTAGTTGCTGTATAAATATCTACAAGTTTATTATTATTTCCTAATGATGTCTTATTATTATTACTATATCATTAACTTTTTCTCTCTCTTCAGTATTTTTATCAATTTTATTATTCTTATCATTGTTGTTGTCATTATTTTTGCTGTTACCGCTGCCATTATTAACAGGTTTTCCTTTAAAAATTTGAAAATCTCCTGAAAATTTATCACCACTACCATCATTAATAATTAAAATGTAAGAATCGGGAGAAACATTAACTTTCCATTGAAATTTATGATCAGATAAATCAAGTGTATCATTAATAATTGTTGATTCTCCTGTATGGATTAGATCCTGTAATATCCCAATTAATTTGAATATTTGCTCCTGTAGCAATATTACCAATTGGTGTATTAATGATGATAACTATGAATTATTTCACATTGTTTCATGTTAACATTTGATTGTTTGATTGTTGATGGTGTTTGTTTAAAGATGTAGCTAAGATAATGACTTGATTTAACAAATATGATGAATGAAAACATTATTACAAAGCAAATATTTATAACACATTATTAAATCATGCCATTGCGACAATTTTATTCTTTATTTCACTTTCTTTATGATTTCTGTATTTCTTTATTTCTTTTTCTCGATGAACTATTGAATTTATTTTTTACAGTGAATGAATTTAATTCTTTTTTCAAAGTCTCTCTTAAAGTTTTTCTCAAGGTTATATGTAATGAATGATATCTTTCTTCTTTATCATTAATGGATAAATTTAAAAGACAAATAAATAGTCTTTATAGGATCATTGTATTTGTATAATACGCCATATATTAAACTTTGAATCAAAATTTATGATTAATTTTTTTTCTGGCGGATCAAACTATTTTATTTATATTGCCAAATATTTATATATTTACAATTCTTTCCTAAATTAGATAATTTTGTAATTCAAAATTCAAAAAAAGTAATGATTGCCAATTACATAATTGCCCAATGTAATTAATTTATTAACTTTTTGGATAAATAATATAATTACATAAAATTATATAATTATAATTTATAATAATTTAATAATAAATTGTATTTTGGATCAAATTAGAAAAGAGAATAATGTAAAAGAATAGTGTCAAAAAAAAAAAATAAAAATAAAAATAAAAGAAAAAATAATGTAAAAGAATAATGCAGAAAAGAATGTTAATTCATATTCTACATTTTAGGTAGAGATGCATGTTGACGAATATCAAGTGAAAAACAGCAGCAAGTCAATTGAAAAAAAGAAGCCAATTATACAAAACAAACGTCGCCTGCAGGATTCGAACCTGCGCTCCCATAGGGAAATGGCTTAGCAGGCCACCGCGTTAACCACTCCGCCAAAGCGACAAATTTATATACTTACTTTAAATAATTTATATGATTCAAATAACTAAATAATGACAATTAATAATAATAATTTATAATAATGATGATAATAATAATAATAATAATAATAATAATTTAATATTAATATTAATAATAATATTATTATTAGTAAATGTAACTAAGATTTAAGAAGTTTCATGGTTTCAAATTTACTAAATTAAAGTTGGCATTGGCATAATTAAAGTTTTTGCTTTTCCGATAGTTGCCAATTATAATGGTTTAAATAAAAATTTATGTAAATTAAATCATTAAATAAATGTAAATATATATAGTTATTTAATATTACATAATGTACATGAAATAATATTTACCTGATGAGTTTTAAATTGTCAATAAATGCACGAACTTTAACCCATCTTTAATAATGAAACATACTAAACATCCAAAACCATTACATTTTGCATGTATTTTTAGCCATTTCGTAATATTCGCTCGGTCTAATCCAGATATGAAACCAAGAAGCAAAATCTGTTAAACTTAATAACCATTTTGCTAATATAAAGAATTTTTTGCTTGACTTTTAACTCTTAATTATAAAGTTTCTAATCCTTTTTTGTATTAATAAAAAAAATGCCCCAAATGGGATTTTGACACGTGAAATTTTGACTTTACAATTCATAATAAAGTTCAGGACATGGTTCAGTAAATGCTGGAAAATTACTACCATCTATTATTATTCTTCCTATATTCCTCCCATTTAGTAGAACTATGAATATCAATATCTACTCCATATTTATTAGATATTTAACAATCGAGGTAAACTTTACAAATTAAATGATAAATTATAGATAATACAGAAAGATTTAAATAATATAATAATAATTAAATAATATTGTAAATAAATAAATAATTATTACCTTAAATTGAATACAAGTTCCTTCTATAGAGACAAGAGATAAAAAAGATAAAAGGGATAGGAGATATGAGAGAGAGATAAGTAGGTAAATAATATTAACACCTACTTCACAAATTGTAGCGATTGCCCTGAAATCCATACTCGCAATTCCACCTTCTTGTTATAATTAAATTAAAAATGATTATCGATTTGTTAAATTACCAGTTATATATATATATATATATATATTAAATTATAAAAATAATAATATGACAATAATTAAAATTATTAAATAAAAATAATATAAGAATTATTATTTAAATACCTAGAATAAATAAATGCAGATTCGTCAAAATTAAAGTATCCTATCAACATGTCCCTTTAAAGTATAAATAGGCACAGTGCTTTTACTCTATTAAATGGATCAGGTGAATGTTCTGAAATGTTTCGAATTGATGTTTTGGTATTTCTTCTTGATGATTTAATAATTATCAATAATAAAATTTGAATTATCTTACATCTATTATATCAATTCCTAAAATAGACAATTTCCATTGTTATTTATTGTTATTATTGTTTGTACAATGAAATTCGCCTAACAATTAATTAAAATAATTAAAAATGCTTACCAAATAGATAAAACCTTAATTTAGAAGGTATATTTGATCATATGATACAGTATATAAATTATAACGTACCCAAACTTCGCAAATAGTTAATGAGTCTTTGCTATTTGATCTTTTTTTTTTCTTTCATGAATTTTGTAAAATATGTTTACCAAAAAAAAAAAAAAAGAATATTTTTTTTTACTGTGACAGCTAGGAGGTTGTCAAATTAAATCAAATTAAATCAAATTAAATCAAATTAAAATTTATTATATTTGTTGAGTATCGAGAATAAAATTTATACTCACTTTATCCTGAGTATTAAAGAGATTTAAGTTAAAAGGAAATTAGATTTTATATCTGAATTTATGCCTTTTATATGTCGTGAATTCATTAGAAACTTAATTTTATTTGTATTTTGGCTACAATCATCTGCTGTTTAACCTTATGTGATCGTGATAAAAATTTCCGAATATTATTTTATTAGTATTTGATTATTATGGCCCCATAGAAAGAATTCATTTTAATTTGAAAATTTTCGAAGGAATGAGATTTTTTTTTAAAGAATTTTTAGTATTATTTCTCTTTATTTTTTTTTCTTTCTTATCGTTAATTCTTTATTTCTCGTGAAAAAAAACGAAATTATAAGTTAATGTATATTGGACTACGCCACGATATAAGATGGAATATATTCCGTTGAGTCAACAGATAATTTTCTAACCTCCCAACCAAGTCACGCGTTTTTTTGTTAGCTCAAGATTGGAAACTTAACTTATTGTGGCTTAGGTAGTAGTAAATTGGTTATACTATACAGATATACAGTATATCGATGATAACTGAATTTCCCTCCAAAAAAATTTTTTTATTTATTATTTTATTTTTTTATATATTTAAGCCACAAAAAAATTTTTTTAGAAACTAGAATTTAACAGGTAAATTTGTTTGCTCTCATGTTGTTTTCGCATAACCCAAACTCCTAATGTAATAACCAATAATTTATGATTTCATAGAATAATTACTTTAAATGGATTTCTTATTTTACCAACAAATATTCCCTCTTTCTACTCCTTCTGGTTACAGTCGTGGTGTGATGAATATTTCGAATACCTAAATTTGAAGTATTTCCGTATATGCACTTTACAACTAATCTAACTAATATAACTATAGGGTCCAATCAATCAGTGTTGATGGATAATATTCTGCAAAGTCAAAAAAAATATATATATATATATAAGCAAGCATTTTATGCAGTATCAATTTCTTTAGGGTATATTCTTTTATGTTGTAACATTTCTTACAGTAAGAATATACAGTAAATTAAGGTTCATCACATAAAGATCAAGAAGATAAATTTGCCAGAATAATTTATGAAGATTGATTTACAACAATGTTAACCAGTTTTTTGTAACAAATAATAATCAGCCATATATATTTTATTTATGCCCTTTTGTTAAAAATATCCTCTTGCATCTTATTTTTATTTTTTTTTTTTTCATCTCGGGCTGTTCGATTGGTTACTCTTAATGATTCTAACAATGTTAGTTAAACTCATTTTGGATAAAATCTTTTTTTTAATAATAACGATGGTGATAAAAGCGTGAATTCAGCGAGAATTTTAATGATTTTTTTTTTTTTTTTAATTCGAAATACCTGTTTTACAAATATTTAAAATGTCTACAAATGTATGACAAATTTACTTTGTATAAATTCATTATCCTAGACAGGATTAATTCAAGTATTATTCAAAATATTAGAATTTTACATAATATTTTAACAATAAACCCAAAAAATATTAAATCGGCATTTTCGTAGCACATTCATAACATCAATATAAAGAAGGATTTGCAAAAAAAATTCGAAACACACCAACCTTCAAAAAACTTTTTTTTTTTAATTAAAACTTTTTTTTTTGTTATAATACTTTTAGAAATAATATGCCTCCTTACATAGTTTGACTTAATTTGGCCTAATTTGTGGATTGATATTTTTTCTTTTATGATATTATGATAAATGAATTTTTTTTTTATGATTTTTGTCAACTCGCAGAATTAATCATCCAAATTAAGAAATGGATTAAACCACGTGACCTTAATGAATGTATGTACAATGAATTATTGTCGTACCAAATAATATGATGATTTTTTTAGATTTTTTGTAATTTTGGTAATTTTAGATAATTTTATATAATTTTAGTAATCTGATGAACTACTCCAATCGCATTCACTCAAGTCATCTTCAATAACCTTAAGCATATAAATCTTTTTAGTGGAAGGAGTTTTCTCTTTGTTGCCAATTCCTTCGATATCAATTTCCTCTTCACTTTCACTCCCACTGTATTCCTCTTCCATTCCTTCCCCCTCCACTTCTTCTTCTCCTTCACTGTTATCATTTATTTCATATATTTCTTTATTTGTCTTCTTCTTTTCTTCATCTGTCATTTTTGTATCACTTTCTTTTTCATTCTTTCCCATTTCATTATATTCATTATTTACATTGTTTTTTTCCTTAATTGCCGGGAAGAAGACAGCGTTATCTGTAAATAAAAAATAAATAAATAAATTATTTGAGAAATAAATAACAATAACAATAATAATGAAATAATTTACTTACACCAATGAACATAAGCTTCCAATTGAGTTTGAAAACTATCAAAATTAAGATCAATGATGCCGATCCAGAAATCAAATTGTGGTTTTCCCAGCCACCAGTCTAATATTAGATTGATTTGGGAAAGTTGTGAGAAAAGTATTGGATCATAAACTAAACTTTCACTATAATGTTGAGAAGGATGCCTGTATTCCCAAGGTTGTCGCCATATTGGTGTTAAAAACATTTGATTTTTTTTTGACCATAAATCATTAATAGTATGAACATAAGCTGAAAGTGCTGTAAAATCAAATATTCCTTTAGCGTAAGGTCCTGGAAGGTCAATCAATTTATCGATGATCTTGCCGATCTGTAATAATTTTGGTTCTAAACATGTTAACACCGGAATATCATCAGTAGTGAATTGAAGGTCTCTTAATTGGTCAAAGGTTTGTAATAAACTATAATAAGGATGGTTTTCATCTCGGGTATCTTCTGCACGAAATTCATCAGGTAAATATTTTAACTTCCAACGTCGGTGAGGTAAGTCAGCAATAGTCCAGGCTTGATGTGACATACTAGACCAGTTTAAAAATAAATCACTAAACATTAAATTTGATGATAGTACACCCGACCTTTCTTCACCATCCCATATAGGTTCAGACATAATATTATTTTTTGGGGGAAAAAGGGGGTGGTATTTAAATTTTTCGTAAAAGAAAAATTAATTTCTGCAAGTAGAGCCAAAAATCTTAAAATTTATATTTGACACAAAAATTTAGTTACACAATTAAAGAGAAAAAGCCCCCAAGCCTTAAAAAATTGAGGTTATGCCATGTGGGGCATTACTGCATTGTGATCTGTGAAACGAGATAAGCAAATTTTGGTTCTTCTTATGTAATCATCACATTTCTTTACTCCAATTTGGAGCCATTTTTATTGTTATTATTGTTGATAATTTTCTGTAACCTTTTTTAATGCCAGATTTTAATATGACAACATTAATGATAATTTTCGTTATACCAATTTTCGTTATACCAATTTTCGTTTGACATTTATAATTTTCTTGACTAGATTTTTTTTTTTTTTTATTTTTTTTTTTACTTATTAATTAATTAACTGAAGAAGTTTTTTTCTAATTAGTGTAGTGTCTGTCGATAATCCAAATAACTTTAAAGACAACGACAACAATAATAAAGTTATACCATACCGATACTTCAACAAGATCATCGGTCAAATTATTATTTAAACACAAAATCATTGGTTAACCTTAATCAAACATGAATATTTATTTATAAAACTCCAAATTTAATCAATTCACACTCATTTTCAATCAATCCTACAGATTTGTTTGTATGCCCCCACGAAACATAAAAAAGTCAAACACAGAATAAGAAAGCAATCACATGATCTCACGCGCAGAAATTATTTAAGGCTTAGTCGGAGAATAAAAACGGTTTTGCAGGCAAAGCCCGATTCTGGCTCGAATGATATTAAATATGATTGTAAATTTTTTTGGCGTTTTTTAAATATTATACTTTTAACTTTATTTTATTTTTTTTTTAATTTCAAATTTTGAAATTTAATAAAAATCCTGCATCTGGTATTCGATGATTTTTTTTTTATATTTACTAATTTTGAATTCTAAAAAAGAACGAATTTAGTTACATGCTTCTGAATACCAACTTTAATATTTCACATCAATTATTCCTGACATTTTTAGACATCTTTAGATGCTTTATACTTTTAGAAACTTTGAAATCTTTAGAATATTTAAATCGATGGTTTGAAGATCTTTACCCACTAGGTTAAATATAACATTCAGAGTGACAAAAAAAAAAAATATCTTTTTTCGCAAAGAATCCAAAGATCGATTGATTTCTTCAGGAATAAAAAAATAAAAAAATAAAAATATTTGTATGATATCTTTGAATGACTCTCACTGCCACTTCACTTTTACCATCCACATTTCCATAAATAAAATTTCTAATTACCCCCATTCTTTTTATTAGTTCATTTATTTTTATTTAGTTTTAGAGTAATAAATAATAATATATGCGTTCGTAATACAAAAGAAATTAACAATACATATTTTTTTTTAACAAAATGTTTCCCAATGAATATGTAAATAATGAAAATCTTTCGGGTGAAATGTTGATACAATATTCTTTAGTGAAACCAAAATAGTACTTCGAAACATTGGAAAATTCTTGTATTACATGTTGAAAACTTGTATTCTTACTAAAATAAGTATGAGAAAGTTCATACTCAAAAAAAAAAATAAATTGAAGATTCCCGATTCCACCCTATTCATCCGAAAGATCAAATAGCCCAATTTTTTTCATAATATGCCGTAAACTAAAAATTATTTCGTTAGTAAATAATTTATTATTTCTTAATCACACTACACCCAAATTATTATGCTACTTGAAATGGAGAACAACAATTTATTAAGTTAGAGATTTTATACATAACAGTTCAGATAAACAATTCTTTTTCATCGTTCCCAATAAATAAATTCTTAGTGATGGTTACATGAAAATCAAATTGGTCAAATTTACTTACTTCAAGCACATGAAGTGGCATAGAAGTCCATTAATTGAAACATATTAAACATGTAATAATTGTCTTGTATTAATCTACTAATTTTTTAACCAAAAATGGCCTCTTTGCTGGATTTCGCGTACATATACCGTACATATTACGTACATATACTGTCTTATATTATAACTACACGTAATATAATATTATTTTCTCCAGATAATTTTTTACTTAGAAGGGTATATAATTGTTATTTAATAATTTATTGTAGTCATTTGATTTCACAGAAAAGGAAATGAAAGGAAAGAGAAAAGGAAGAGAGGCGCCTTCCAAACATATGAAAATAGTATTATGATCACACCAATCAATTAAGACAATTGAAAAGACAATCACTTTTTCTTTTGCTTCTTTTTCTAATTTACTTAATTTTTTTATTAGAATCATAATTGAAACAAAAGAAATGGTTTTTATTATTGCATATGATCTAACTGAAAAAGAACCTTACAATATATTTCACTAATCTACAAAGATCGTAACAAATAAATGATTGGATTTGTAACTGTATAATACATATCATCACATTACCAAACATAAATATTTAACTTTACAATCTTTGATGTTATTTCAAATTTTAATTTATATCTAACATAATTAGATTATGGTGTGACGACGGAGTCATTCTCGAAGCGAGGTACAACGTTGCCGGAGATGCGGGCATCCTAACATTCCTAACGCAAGAGTACATGCTCTATTGAATTAAAGCCATGGTTTTTATTACGCAGGTAAAAGGATCAAAATCTTTCTTTCAAAACACTCGAAAAATCTTAGCACTGTAATCGTTTATCGATATTGTTAAAATATCTATGCACGAAACTTTAACTTTCTGACAACTCGGCCAAAGTGGAAACAGTTTTTTAATCGTTGTAGTAGATTACTTTTTTTTCAATTTCGTTTCTAACCTTGCTTTTATTTTGGATTATTATATATTTCTTCAATTTCGTTTCTAACCTTTGGATTATTATATATTCTTCAGAATTTCTTGAATACAATATATGCTTTCTGAAGCAATTTAGTAAGTTTCGGCTTAAATCCTTTTCATTTGATTTTCTGAATAAATTTTTTTCAAACTTTTAAGTTTTTGTTGCATGTTTGATTCTCTATTTGTCTTAATGAGTTACTCATTACGCTTCCTCTTGTTGATATTGTTGAAGGTAAGTCTTTTTTTTTTGTTGATACATTTTGTAAGGTTAGCTATTTCTTTTTGTTGTCGTTTATATATACAAATTTTCTGGCGATTACGCAATAAGGTTACATGAATTGATCAGACGACATTACCATTATGTCCTATTAACGATAAAACTTTGTTCCACGACTGCATGCATTACCCAGACAGTCTCCACCTGGCGTGTGAGTAAAGAAACGAGGGAAAGATCATTTATTCTATTATAATCAAAAATTCAGATACAAATATGGAATTGTACCCTCAACGCTATTAAAAGAAAAATAAATTATAACCTTGTATCCGATGCATTATTACAGAAAATACACGTCACTTTGTTATATATCTGATCTCGTTGTGTGGAAGTTTTTCATTAAAGAGAAGCTTCTAATTAACGTACACTTTTTGCCGGAATTTATTTTATACTTTATATTGTAAAAAATAAATCGATCACAAAGAATATCACGAGAAAAAAAGTGTAATTTTGGCTAATGCATATATGTTCGTATTGTATTGTTTATTGTTTGATTCACGTACTTTTTCGTCTTTAAACAGGTTTTTTTAATCGTTGTCCTACCAAAAGAAAACTTTTTATCTGAATGAACGAGAAAATTGATCTGATAAAAAAATATCCTTGAAGTTTTTATATAAAATAATAATAAAATGACCATTCGAACTTCTAAACCGATACCAAATTTTCCAACACATGGTTTACTTCCTAAAGAGGTAAATTTTTTTTTTAAAAAAAGATTTTTCAATTAATGACGCGCCCAAAACATGATTTATTTTATTATATTTTATGAATATTTTTTCATTGTTAAAGGAAACTGAAGCTGCCACTTTTATCAAAAAATATCCTGAATATGATGGTCGTGGTGTTGTTATTGCTATATTAGATACTGGTGTAGATCCTGGGGCTGTTGGTTTGCAAGTATGTTTTTCTTTGATAATAATTAAATTAATCAAATTATAAAATTCTTCAAAGATATTCCTAATATAGATAAATAAATAAATAAATAAATAAATATAATTTTTGATTTGTAGACTACAACTGAGGACAAGCCAAAGATTATTGATATTATCGATTGTACCGGTTCCGGTAATGATTATTATTTTTTTTTCTAATTTCTAGAAAACATTTTCGAAATTTTGAAATACATTTATATTTATATATATATATATTACTTACTCTCAAATGATTTTTGATTAGGCGACGTGGTTACAAAAACTATCGTGAAACCTACTATTTCAAGAATTGATGATGAAACAGTACACGTAATTAAGGGTTTATCAGGCCGTTCTCTTATAATTAATCCTACTTGGAGTAATCCATCGGGTGAATTTCGTGTTGGTATAAAGAGAGCCTACGAGTTCTTCCCAAAATCTTTGATTACGAGATTGAAAAAGGTATTTCCATTCACCAAAAAATTTTATCTCAGATTTAATCATTTACGATTTGCAAAAAATTTAAAAAAAATTTAATCATTTAATAAAAGGAACGAAGACAACAATTTGAAACAAAACATAATCTACTTCAAGCAGAAGTGCAACAAAAACTTGTAGCATGGGAAGAAGATCATCCATCAGGTTCATCTCCAACGGAAGCTGATATTGCTACCAAAGTTGATCTTGAGAATAGAGCCGAAGCACTTAAGGATATGCTAAAGAATTATGAAGATCCTGGCATAATTTATGATGTGGTAACATTCTTTGATGGCGCAGATTGGAGAGTAGTGGTTGATGTTAATGAATCTGGTGATTTGAGAGGTAATAATTTTATATAAACATTTTATATAACTATAAATACTTAAAATACTTAATATATAAACATTTTATATAACTATAAATACTTAAAATACTTAATATATATAAATATTTAATAATTAATTATTTATATATTTTCATTTTTAGGACAACCACCTTTAACCGATTATAAGAAAGAAAGACAATATCATACATTCAGTCAAGAAGATTTGTTGAATTTCTCAGTTAACATTTATGATGAAGGCGATACTACCAGGTAATATGAACTAAAATATGAACTAATATGAACCAATATGACTGAAGCTACACATTAAAAGTATTTAACAAAATATTAACAAAATAAATTAAATAAATTATATTACAGTATCGTTACAGTGTCAAAATCTCATGGAACCCATGTTGCATCTATAACAGCAGCACATTATCAGAATGAACCAGAACTTAATGGGGTATTTAAACAATTCTTCGAACTCAATAAATATAATCATCCCATTTGTTCTAATTTCAAAAAAAAAAAATCTTATTTTCTTATATAAATTTTAGATTGCTCCCGGTTCTCAGGTATTAATATTATAAAATATTATCCTATAGAAAATAATAATTTTTGGATGGTAATTTATTTAATTTGATAATTTTAATTAGATTATTTCGTTAAAAATTGGGGACATTCGTTTAGAAAGTATGGAAACTGGTCTAGCATTGACTAGAGCAGCCATCTCACTCATAGAAAGTAAAGCTGATTTGGCTAATATGAGTTATGGTGAAGCAACTGCTATACCAGATTATGGATATTTTGTTAATTTAATTAGAGAAGAAGTTGTGGGAAAACGTGGTTGCATATTTTTAAGTAGTGCCGGAAATTCTGGGCCGGCTTTAACCACTTTGGGAGCTCCCGGTGGAACTTTTCACGGTAAATATTATTTAATTATTAATAATTATTTCTCATCAACTAATTATTAATTATATTGATTATTGAATATTGTTGATAGATATTATTGGAGTTGGTGCATATGTTACACATTCAATGGTTCAAGCTGAATATGCACTTCTTGAATCTGTTCCTGAACGTTCATACACTTGGAGTTCTCAAGGTCCAAATGTTGATGGTTCTATTGGTGTTTCTATCTATGCTCCAGGAGGGTATGTAAAAAAAGATAAAAAATTTATTATCATTATTTTTTATGAAAATAAAGAAAATAAATTAAATTGGTTATTTTATGTTATTAGTGCTATCACATCAACTCCATTATATTCATTAACCAAATCTCAATTAATGAATGGTACTTCAATGTATGTGTTTTTATTTAATCTTTATATTTAATCATCATTATATTTATAAATTGTAACTTCCTTAATAATTTTTTATTTTTTTATATTTTTTTTTTAATATTTTTATAGGTCATCGCCGAATGCTACAGGATGTGTAGCATTACTTTTATCAGGTCTTAAAGCCGAACGTAAAGAGTATACACCTTATAGGATTAAAAATGCTTTGGAGAATAGTTCCAAACAGGTTAATGAAAATTTTAACGTTGGACTTATTCAAGTCCAAAAAACTTGGGATTATCTTAATAAATTTTATGATCGATTTGATCAAGATATTGAATATGAGGTAACAATTTATTTAATTTATCATATTTTCTTTATTTTTTATCTTTAAATAATGTAAGACGTTCAAAGTTATTAAATAATTTTATTTTATTCTTATTACCATCATTTCACTAAATGATTTGATTCTGTAGATCAAAATTCCGGATAGACCAATAATTAAACGCGGTATATACTTGAGAGAATCTCATGAAACTTCAAGTCCCCAATTATTTAGTGTCGCAGTAAGACCAAAATTCATGAAAGATGCCGAACCAACTTCTGGTGATAATAATCCAAAGAAATTTGAACTTGAAAATAGAATAGCGTTAGTATGTACTCAACCTTGGATCCGTGCTCCTGATTTCTTATTGTTGGGTAGTCAAGGTAAAAAAAAAAAATTCTAATTAAAAAAATGCTATTGAATTCATATTAAATTTTATTTATTTATTTATTTTATTTATTAAATTTCATAAAATTTTATAGGAAGGTTATTTGATGTTAAAGTTGATCCAACTCAATTATCACCCGGAAATTTTTATTTCGCTGAAGTTCAAGTTAGTATTTTTATATTTTTTTTATATATACAGAAATTTGTCATTAATCTTGTTAATCTATTTATTTTTAAGGGATACGATACCACTTGTTCAGAACGAGGTCCTTTATTCAAAGTACCTGTAACTATAACAAAACCAAATATCATAACTAATGGATATAAAATTAATTATGATAATTGTTCATTTGGGCCTGGACAAATTGAAAGAAGATTCCTTAAAGTTCCAGAGGGAGCCACTTTTGCAGGTATATTAATAATGTTAATAATTTTGTTTTATACTTGTGTATTTTATACTGTATATCTTAAATCTTTTATACATTTTATTTATCTTTATTTAATTTAATATAATTCATTTAATTATTATTCAGATATGACCGTCAAATTTGCTACCAGTTCACTTACTTCACCTGCACGTTTATGGTTACATCTAATTCAATTATTACCTCAAAAACGATTCTCTGCTCATGAACGCAAATATTATTTTTCATTAGTTAAAGGAAGTTGTGAAGGTGAAGGTGAAGAACAAGTAACAAAAAAACAATTTTCTGTTATTGGAGGTTTTACTTTAGAAATTTGTCTTTCTCAATTTTGGTCTAGTCTCGGAAATCATAAAGTTTCATTAGAAATTATTTTTCATGGAACTCAAATTGTTAATAATTCAGCTAGTGGATGTGATGTTTTTATAAATGGAAATGATTCTTTCACTCGTTTAGATATTGTTACTCCAGTTAGAAGAGATGAAATTAATCCGTCTATACAACTTGGTAAATTTTCTTTCTTTCTTTCTTTATTACAATAATACATTTTATAAATAATAAAAATAATTTTTAAAATAATAATAATTTCTAGATACACTTCGCAAATCGATTCGACCAATCGAGTCTTCATTAAAACCTTTAGGATTAGATCGAGATGTTCTTCCAGATTCAAAAAAAACTTTTGCGCTCACACTTACTTATAAATTTAATGTATCTGAAAAAAATATGAATCTTGTTCCACGATTTCCTGCCTTCTTTGACTTATTATATGATTCTTATCTCGAAGGTTTCTCTGGCATACGTGAGTTATCTTCATTTTACACATTCTAATAATTTTATACATTTTTATTTAATATTTTCTTATTTATATATTCTTATTTTTATATTCTCATCATTTATGTATATAGTTTATGATGTAAATAAAAAAGTTATTGGATGGTTAGATGTATATCCAAAGAACTTTAAATTAGAAACAAAAGGCGATTATATCTTACAAACACAAATCCGTCATCATTCTCATGAAATATTAGAAAAATTTAATAATACTATCTGTATTTTAGATTATAATATTTCAAAAAAAGTTAATTTAAATGTATATAGTCAAATACCTGACGTATTTGCTTCTGAAAAATCTACTTTAGGAAGGCTTTCTTTAGAAAAAGATGCTAAAAAAGCAATATTTATTGGTTCACCTATAGATTATTCGGTTTATCCTAAAGATGGTAAACCAGGTGATCTATTATTAGGAAAATTTAATTTGATAAGTTCTATAAAAGTTGACGGCGGTCAATATCAAGCTAAATTGTTAATTCCGCCAGTTCCCATTAAACCAAAAGATACACCTATTCCAATTGGTAATGGTGGTGGTGATAAAGAAGTTAAAAATATTACTGATGAAGGATCAGGAAAACTAGAGGAAACAACTACCGAAGAAGAAAAATTAGATAATGAATTAATGGAATCAATTAGAGATTTACAAATATCTTATTTAAAAAAATTTCAAGCTGATTCAAGAGCTCGTAATTTATTAATTAAAGAACTAGAAAATAATTTTCCAAATCATTTACCATTATTAATTACAAAGTTAGAATTACTTTTAGAATCATCCAAAACAACAACAACAACTGATGAAAGTAGTAATGAAGATAATGAAGATATTTCGTCTGAAACTGCTCATAAAATTTGCGAATTGACAGATGAATTATTGAAAAAAATTAATTTAACGGAATTAGCTCAATATTATGGACTTAAACAAGATATCAACGCGAATGAAATGGCTAAAAAGAAGAAAAAAGAAAATGATGAGAAAAAGAAGGCAGTTATATTTGCATATAGAGCCAAAGCTCAAGCATTAGCAGTTCTTAGTGATGCAACAACTTCTTCAAATGAATTAGATACATTATTTGAAAAAACCTGGAAAGAATTAGCACAATGGTTAGATTCTATTCCACCGATTTCAGATTTTAAAAATCTTCAAATTTATATAATTCGAGAACGAAAAGCACATAGATTTGGTAATGCATTAAAAGCATTAAACAAATATTTAAATGAGGTAGGATTAACTAATGATACAATTAAAGAATATGAGAAAGCTTTGAAGTTGAAACTTAGATTATTAACTGATTTAGATTGGGAAGTTTGGGAAGAATTTGAAAGAAAATGGAAATTAATTAGAATTCCACCTGGTGGCTACGTTCCTTTATCTTAACAAACAAACAAAAAAAAAAAAGATTAACTAAGTTTTATTATGGAGATATTTAATGTATCTAATAGAGGTGTATTTTTATACAGATATATTTAATTGATATATAAATTTATTATGCAATCGATTACCTATTAAAGTCACATTAGGTATTATATAAATAAGTTAATATTTTAGCGTGAAACTAAACATTATCTAAAAATTAATCATTTATTTATTTAATAAAACTTTGTCAATATTAAGTTCCTTCATAAATAATCGAATTACATTTTGAGTATTTATTCCCTCAAACGAACTAATAGTTCAAGGATCAAGGATCTATCATTCACATCAACATAATCAAGATCATAAAATTGATTAGTGTTTGATGGAAAACGATATATTTGCACTGTTAAAATCTTTTGGAGGAAAACCTTTTTGCAGAGATTCACAATAGTCGCTACTCACAAATGCTTTGTAAAACGTTGTTTGATTTTTACCCTATGTAGGACTGTAATAGCTATCAAAATTAGTGTAAGCGCATGCAAGAATTTCAGCTGAAATTTGTGATTATCTCATCTAAACACAATTATTCCCATATCTTTCTCTATGCTGAATTCAACCTTGGCTCTCACTTTTTTACCAAGTACTTTAAAGATATAGCCTGATTGCAATTTCAATATTAATGGATATTGATTGAAATCCAATTTCTGTAAAAAAAGTAACAAATTATCTGCAATTGCCTTCCTAATGCCTGTAGCTACTGGATCATTTTTAAGAATTCTGTTAATATAATATGCAGCTGATTTTTCTTTGCCTATCAAACTATTTATAAAATCACTTCCAACTCAAGTTTGCTTCACGTCATTCATTGATTTTAATGTATTTCAGAAGAGGTTCAAAAATTATATTTGCTGTGTTTACATTTTCATAATGAATATTTAGAGCTTCCCAATGTCCGGGACGAAAAAATCTTGCACTATTGGATCGTATAATTTCCTTCCCGGTTTTGTTTTGTTAGAAATAATATTTATTTTAAATAGGTGAAAGTTTTTTTTAATATAAAAACCCGTGATCTAGACCAATTTGAAGATTACAGAGGAATCAATTTATTTTTGCTTAAAGTTGTATATGAGCAATTAACAGGCCTAGATAATTTTTTTTTGGTAATAGTACTTGGTGTTTGGATACAACAATGATGATTATGTATAGAAATATTTCACCAGTATTATCCGAATCCACTTCTGATGATACGGTCAATGAAGAAAAATGGCCTGAAAAATTTTACGTATAAACGCTCACGTTTGACTTTATTTTATTTTTTTATTATTATGTAACTGTTGAATGAGTTTATGAATTTATAAATATGCATTCCATTCTACATAATTATATTAAGAATGATATCATGGATATAAAAACAAATTTAATATAGATTAAATAAATACAAATAAATGGTTTAAAGCATCAAATTCATACAAGAAAATGTCTTTACTGCTAATCATAATTCTACAAAATTCAATTTGTATTCACTTTCTTTACCCAAGGTTGGATACCAGGATCTGGCCTTATTATTATATTAAATTTCTTTTTAATCACTTTTCCTTCATCCCTAAATTCAAAGTTCCTGATCAAAATTGCTAATATCACTTTTATTTCATTCAAAGCCATTTTATAAGCAATACAACCTCGTGCTCCGGTTGAGAATGGTATCCATGAATAATTGGAATTTATTTTTGAGATGCTTGGATCAAGCCATCTAGAAGGTTTGAATTCATTTGAATCTGGGCCCCAAATTGATGGTAATTTATGTATTGTGTTTATTGGGATAATTACCATAGTTCCCTATTATATAAAATATTATATTTATTATAAATATATCCTTGTCTTGTTAGAATAAAAATATTTTAAAATATTTAACTTACCTTTGGAATAAAATAACCATTAATAAAATCATCTTTAATCGAAACACGTAAGACAACGGGAGCTAAAAGAAAATGAAATCACAACTTAGCCATATGGAAAAATATTTATTATTTGAAAAATTCATTATTGTATA